ATGGATGGATGGATGGATGGATGGATGGATAGACGTGTGGATAGAAGGAAGAGTGGGCATGGAGATTGACTGATTAAGAGGATAGGATCAGCTCAATCTTCAAATTGGTACAAAGAGGCAAGTAAACAGTCACCGACGAGCAGTACAAAAACGTTCTCTCATTACTTGTTTTGACCGGTTTTCAACTTATCATTTATGTGCAATCGGTCTGTCAAAATAATTGTTCCCTAACTTCACAGTACCTTACCTGTGTTATAGCCCATTCTTGTGCATCAGGTGGCCAAATATCCTTAGCACCTTTCTTTTTCTTAACCTCTATTGTAACCTCAGGGTAAAGAACCAAGTTTTTCTTTTCTCTGTACTGAAGAAAGCAGCCTTTCTCATCCACCCTTGACTTCTGTAAGCCCTGAGCATATTCAAGTCTTTTTGGTCCTGGCATATCTAAATTAATTAATTGCCTTTTGTTACCCGGTGGGAATCCAGTAACAGCTCTCCAAGCAGTTGGTCTATCTCTTCCTTTCTCTTCATCCATTACAGCTTCTCGTTGTACTATCTCCATTTCATCCCATAAAGACATGCACGATGCCTTATCTAGTGTCAGCTGCAGGGCCATCACTATGAACAGTTGTCAAAATACTTTAAAATCATTGATTGAATTATTGGTTAGGTTTCAAGCAGGATAATAAATTCATGAACCCCAATAAATCTAAAAATAGGGAGTTAGGGGTCGTTAGGCGCCTAAAGTTTACTAATTGGCAATTATTCGCCGAAAGCGAAGTGAATATCGGGGAATATTTTATCGGGGAAGGTTTAAGCATATACCAACTTGTGTACAGAGTAATTTATTTTTATTTATATAATAGATTTTCACGAACGTGCGCACTGATTGGCTGAAAAGCTATGTTTTATCAGAGTATAGAAACATAGATATGACGTCAAAACCATGTTTTCTATACAAAATGAAACATAGAAATTACGTCACAGGGATTCGGCTTTTCAATTTAAAGCAATTTCACATTTCAAATTTAAAATATTCATTTATTTTTATCAAGAGTTATGTCTTTCCTCTAAAAAAGGAAAATATGTCGTCTTGAAGCACATTTGATTGTACTACATTTCGACGAGTAAAGCTTTCTTTCGTTTGTGCTGCGACTATTACAATTATCTTATTTCGATAAACTAGAAGCTTTTTGCTTGACCGTGATGGTGTTAGAGAAGTCAAAATTTAATTTTAAAAAATTTTCATAGTCTAACAACAAGAATGAACAAATCTATGGTAAGAAACTAAGCTTATTTTACAAACGAGCATCATCAATTTTACGCTAATTTACGGTATTTTTTTACCGTAATTTGTTTTCCAATAGCCCGAGACTACGATTACAAAATGCTACCTACACTACTATAGTTCAGGGTCAACTAAGACACAACTTTTCCAAGTACTGCACTGCTAGCTTTCTTCCAATTTTGAAGATCAAGATATTTTTCAGTCTCTCGGCTACTTGGCATTCAAAGTGTTCATAAGCTGGTTTTCTTGAGTGTTTGTACATGTTCATGTCCATTTAACGATCTGAACTTTGAAAACGTTTTTCAAACTCTTCAGTATTTGAATTTTCATTTCTTCTAGCAGTTAAATGCTTGTTTGCTTTGGCTTTTTTGCTAAAATTTACAAGCAATTCTCCTTTCTTGTTGAACAAATGCGATAAACCAGTTGTATGCCAAGCTGTACAGAGCTGTCATTACCTGTCAAAACTGGACCAATCAGATAGCCATAGGTCGCGTTTTAAGCCAATCATCGCATAGACCAAATTTGTTTGCGTGAGTTTGACGACAGACGCGCGCTCTTTTTGTAAACAAATCTTTTTTTTGAAAYTTTACGCAATTTTTTTCTTAAAAATCTATTATATAAAGCGAATGGATCAGGCTTAGCTATGTTCTGTTCTCTGATAAAACACTCCTGAAGCTGTAGAACACTCAAAAAGTTATAGAAATCCCTCGCCGTATTTGTTAAATACAATAGTTCAATGAAAACAAACAGAAACATTTAGTTTGCGTGACAAATTCACGCAAAACGTATAGCAAAACTTTTAGGCCATACTTCGTTGGCATTTACTTTCATCTTAAAACGATTGCCGGCAGATGCCATTTTGTTGACGACTCAATATTCCGAGATTCAGAGGTGAATATCGTACAATATTCTCCTTCAATTAACCAATGAGCGCGCGCGTTCTTAGGAAGCACACAAGTTTGTATATGCTAATAGGTAATATATTAATAACGAACAACAAGACAAAGCATACCGTCAGGACATAATAACCAGGCATACATGAAGTACTTACCCAGTCAATACCCCCATATATTTACTAACCATTGAGTGGCTTGAAATCCTCGCCATAGGACAGCCAGATTTCTTGATCATACTCAAGGTCATGAACGTTGGTCACTTCTTTGCCATCCTTAATAAACACTCTTCGTGCAATTTGCCTGCCTGCAGGGCCACCTGTACCATCGCCTACTCTCCGAGAAGTAGTACAAGTATCCAGGAAGCGATGCATTAATTGTGACTTGTCTCCTTGGATACCTTTTTCTGCTTCAGCAAGGTTAAAGTAAACTATGACTTCGCCATCATTTCGACCATTTTCAAACACCTGGCGAGAAAGATAAAACTCCAATAAAAAAACCCTATGAATGCAGACTCATAGCATGTGAAGGGGCCTGGGGATAGGCCTATATTTTTTCGTACCTGTACTTTGAACACTAGAAATCATAGATCATAGGTGTTTTAGAATAGCTCTGCCCCCCCCCCCCCCAATACCTGGACTGCCACCTGCCACTCATCTTCTGTCAACAAATTAAAAGTGACACTCCATGCTGGATTCAGGATATTGTGGGGAGGGAATGCACTATAACCTAATTACTAGTGTCACGTTTTATTTCCTCAAAGATATGCATTCTTGAGGTATTCCCAGGAAGGTAGGGTGCTTGAAAGCCCTTGCAGTGTTAAACCTTGCCACAACAATCCACACAATGTCACAAAGAAAAGTTTTAGAACTGCTGCCATATACAAATATATTAATATATTACCTTGAATCTCAGCCCTTGCTTGCCTAGTAGCCTACTGTCAGGGCTAATTTCTGAAATGTGCTGGTACTTGTGCGTTTCCATTCCTCCTTCAATGTCAACACCTTCTTGCAGGCGTTTTAATTGTTTCTTTAGTGTTGGCACTACACTCAATAACTCTGTTATGTGTTCCTCAACCTAAAAAATATTGGTCATAGCTGTAATTCATTTCATTAAAATAACGTTTCAGAAAACTTACATTTGGTGTACAGTAAGTAACATGATAGTACGATTGATATGCATATTTTAATATTTTGCTGTCATGACATGTCCATGATTACATCATGTAATATGCTCTCAAGCCATTTGAATTGATCACAGACTGAGGTCATTGTTCAGGTTGCGGGTGGCGGGTGGCGTGCACTAGCTTCTTATGTGTTATCTCTCACCAATGCGACCCGAGTTTGAGCCTCGCCGTTCTTGGTTTCGTATGTGAGTAGAGTTGTTTGTTGGTTCTCTCCAGTGCTTCAAGGATTTTTCTCCAGGTTCTCCGGTTTTCCTCCCTCCGCAAAAATCAACTTCTAAATTCCTATTCGATCTAGCATGGATCTGAGGGTTCCATTCGTGATTGTCCCACTCAGTGATCACAGCCAAAAGTGTTAGATTTAAAAAAATGATAACTCCCATCCCACCGATGGTTTGACTGTGTGTATAATCATTGTTTCTTTTACTTATTAATTGGATCGAAAAGGGTGCTGGCTTTGGTTTTAGACAATCAATTGCAAGCTAACATTTCATCTATCATGTTGTCACTGATGACGCCCTAACATCAATATTTCGATTAAACCCAGACTGCTGACCTGCTGAATTTCTTTCTGTATTTCCTCGTCAGTCATTGACATCACTTCTTTTGACTGGAGATCTGGGCTACAGTTCGACTGCATATTTAGCTTAAATTTAATAATATGTATTGTAAGTTATAAATATTAAAAATTCTGCACCCACCCTTCAACTCCAATCCTTAGACACAAATTTTCCATTTAACATTATTTTGCTTTAATTTGTTTTACATCAAAGTGTTCATGCTTGCCAAGGTGGCAAGGAAGAAAAGCACACATCAAACAAACCCCAGTGGTATAGACTCATTTAGCAACTCAATCCATGGGAATTACAGTGATGAAAGAAAATCGTTATTTATAATACTGCTCATATGCCACCCTTGCCTAACCAAATTTATATAATTAGGCTCACTAATCTATATACATTGTATTAACGTTTCTTCTCAGTTATTATTGGTAAACAACTCCACCATGATTATTGGTTAATGGGGAAAATTTAACCAACCTATAAAGGTCTATTGTTATTAGGATTTCCATCCACCCTCATGATCATCAGTGGTATGTAAGTTAACCCTATCACACCATTAATGTTTTATGTTTTATGATTAATGTTTTTCCATAAAGATTGCCCTTAAAATGACAAAGATATGAATTTTTGAGACCAAGAATCTTAAATTTGTGAAATTTGTGGAAAGCACTATATAACATGTGCCTAGCTAGCCTGATAATATGGCTGTTATTAAACACATGCAATGTATTATTACTCACCTGGATGTATTATTACTGGAATACAATAATTTCTTTGCAAAAAATTGCTACACGTATATAGTTAAAAAAAATAACATATTTAATGGCAATCTCTACAAAACGTTCTGCAGTTTCACTAAAAATGTCAGTATGACAAATTTGATAGTAAACTCATGTTTCCCGATAAATCAATGATAAAGCAATGCTGAAGCAAATGCCACAGCAATGATAGCATGATAAAGGTCAATAATAAGCCTTTTCATAGTTAAGGAATCGATTCCACTGCGCATGCGATTTTATCCCGAATTTCTCACCTTCTTTTGTCTAAACCTTCGCTTGTTCTTAATTAAACAAAAGAAGGTGAGAAATTCGGGATAAAATCCCATGCGCAGTGCAATCGATTCTTAAACTATGGAAAGGCTTATTGACTCAAACCTCCATACACCTACACGTAAAAACGTTGTCATCACCAAAGGGAATAGACAATAGGTTATTCCGACATGGAAATGATTTAAGTAATGTTTAATAAACGAGCAGGAGTGTTTTATCGGGTATAA